ACTACTGCTCATATTTCTGTATTTAAAGCCTATGGGAGTCCCGACACCCCGTAGTGTTTCTCAGATTTTCTTTCACGTGCAGATGTTTGTTCTGGGACCACGCCTCATCCTTAGCGTTCGACAATATCATGCTGAACTGGTGGCCAACTTCGACGATGAAATTAGTATGAATTCGATTATCCTCCAGGAACGTGTACATATACAAACTAGCAGTACTATGTAGGGAAATGCTTACCGGGTGTTCTGCAGGAGGAGAAATCTGGCCGAGGATCCGTTGTGGTATTTGCTTAAGCTATGGTGTTTCAAAGTACATTTGAGATAGGTTTGTGTAGACGAACCCATTTCTTGTCGGTACTGGAAGTCAGTGAACCGCTCGCCCACACTTGCACCAAGTAGTAGTCATATCACCCCGAGTACTTGAGTGGGTGACATGTCTGATTGTGAAATCAGTTACTTTTGAAATCCAGTAAATCATTTATCGTGGTATAGCCACGAGTGGCAGCTCTGATAGCTTCAAGGACATCAAGGAGATGCAGTACTAGGTGCTTATGCAGCTGCAGGATGGAAGTGATGGACGCAGTGGCCACCGACTGGGAGCTGGGCCACAGTTATTCGTGCTTACATTGCAAAGATACGGTAAACATATATTATACTTTGTTTCATGTAGGAATGATATACCAGCATTGATATGGAACGGTATCATTTTTTGAGATACTTGCGAGAGCACTGCTTTTTGTGTACATCTTTCCAGTGTACCTTGATAGCACATTCGTCAGCAACAAGACCTGCAAAATGTCTCAATCATACCTTCTGGTGCTCAGCAGAACAATATCTAGACGACATCCTGTTTAGCATCATATCACCCCAGTTTGTTCAGAAATGCTCACAAAATGGCCCTGCAACCACTGCACGTCTTAAGATCCTGGCCACCAGGCTTTCCACAAGCAGCACAAGCCGACTGACTTCTTTTATCCTTCGTGCTGGACGTTGTCTCCTGCCAATATCCATGGCTCTCGTGGTCCCATTCGCGCTGAATGCTCTGACCTTTCTTGAGTTTGCCCGTCCTGGAATCATGTGCGCTGGGGTTGATAGGCATGGTGAATGCCTTCATGCCCGCCCTGACTGAGTTGGGCGAACTCAGTGCTGCGGAGAGTCGCTCGTTAGCCTGGTCGACGTCAAAGGCGTCAACGTCGAACAGAGAGAGGAGGTTTGCTGAAGCCTTTGTAATTTGGGCAATCAAGAATTTCTCGTCTTTTCTTAACCCTGGAGAGATGTTCAGCACTGAAATTGAATCAAAGGGAAACCCTAGTACTGCTCGGTGTACGAATCAGTGTCGTAGGCCTTGAGAAAGTTTTGGTATTGGTACGACCCTCTCATATTTTCTGGATGATAGTTTGACAAGTGGAATATTGTGTACATTAGAAAAGTAGCTCACCACCTGGGCACATGCCCTTGCCATCGAGTATCTGAACACGTCCATACGACTCCTCGACGGGAAAAACTTTCTCGATCTGATCGACGTAAAATCAGTCCAATATCAGGCAAGGTATTCGACCGTACCTCGATTTCGTGGTGCCACTTGTCCCCATAGTCATACAAGTACGCAAACGTATCGCCCACTTTTGAAAACAAGTGGGCGAGCATATACCTAAGTGTCTTCAGAATCAATGTGACACGGGAGATTATGCTCTTACTTGTCATCCGGAAGGTAAACATATCCAACCTAGGGTCGAGATGTCAGACGCTCCAAACATATTCCCTAGGTTTACGTGCCTGGTTGATATGCATTATGTCTGTTGCGTTGGCGTCCTATGTATGTAATTAGAGATGGACTATGACGTAAAAGTGGCTCAGTTTACCTCAGGACCAAATACAGCGCCGTCTCTGAGATCCGTGAACGTGTAGCAGTGGAGGTTTCGTACCCTACACACAAAACAATGGCCTCAGTGTGTAAATAGAATCGGGACATCAAATGAGTACCAGTTCAGAATGGGCGAAAGGACCTTATCCTGGAATACGCCTATCTTCATACAGCTGAGAGGCGCACCCGGCGCCATATGCGAGGGTCGCCATTGGCATCTTGCAAGAACCTTTGAAGAACATGTCAGAGAGGGTGCGGCATCATTTATACAAGTAACATACTTCAAGTGTATCTGATCACATATCTTTCTTGTCAAGGTCTGCGAGATCAAGTTTGCTGAGCTGGTCGCGCTGCGAAGACAAAACAAGTCAGGAAAAGAACGGAATTACCTCAAAGCGCACCCACCTTACGATCCTTTAGAACATCCATGAATTGATTTTCAGGCCAGGGTGTTCCACCGCGGTTGTCGTAGGAGAATTGGTGGGCCATCTAAAGCCAAATAAACGAGACGATCAAACCATCTCTATGAACTTACTGTTCTATACATCATTTGGATTCCATCGACTAGTTTGAAGAGTCAGGATATACAATCTACTAGACTCAGATATTTGCTACAGTCCCAGATTATCTTCGTTGTACTGTACACGTCAATTAACTGATTCGGAAGGATTGGTAGGCGACATACCGGAAATATACCCCAAGTCTGAATCTGTCCATGGGACCCGGTTTTGGCTTGAATGTACGAGGATCTTGAAAGAGTAGGACATCTAGGACTCGTCCTCAAAAGAGTCGAACCACTTACCCTCAAAAAAAGTCTCTGGCATGCCTTCGCCATTATCTCCAGAGAGAAAATTCACAAATTTGGGTTTTCGTGTGGGGCGCGTCGTTAGAGCGAGGAGGAATATCCTCACCGGTCAACGAAGTGTTGAAAAGAGTTTGTTAAAATCCATGGTTGCTGCTCAAACAGACATAGTAGCATGTGCAAGGTTGATAGCGGAATACATAACGCCCCAAAAAGGCATATCACTTACGCCGCATCGGAGACGCACAAACTTTAAACTACCTTCTTGAATCTTGACCCAAGGTGACCGCCCTCTGGGCCAGTCTTCCATGACACATATAATGCACAACCTGTGCATAAATTTGATCTCAACTCACGATATTCTAGGGTTAAACATCATCGATTCATCTGTCGAGTGACGTGGTCACGAATTCTTGATAAATGTATTATGATTCACACTAATTTAATGCGGGGAAACATGAATTGTGCAAACAAACAAACAAAGGACAAAGTTCAACAAATAGCACTACCAGATAAAAGGACTGCAGCTAGCCCGTCTTTCATCAGTGCACCACCCTTGCATCTCCATTATCAGTACTACTTCTTACACGTTCAAGATGTCTAGCAACGGAAAAGATTACACGTACACTGGTCATGGTACCAACGACCAGTAAGCGCCCGTTTTGCGAGTTAGGGGTGGTGATTAACAAACACTTTTCGTAGGGCAATCACTACTGCTCACGCGACTACGGTAGCAGCGGTACTGGATACCACTATTCTAACAAGTAAGTTCTCATCATGAATAATTCTTGATTGGTGGTACTGATTATATTGACAGCGACGGGAGTTATTACTACAACAACCCGAATGGGTCCCACTTACTACAACAGTGGCACAGGGTACTCGCAGTACACTACTCCCAGCGGACAGACTCATAAATCCAACGGTTCCTCGAAGTGATTCTAGGTAATTTGCCTATTTTAATAGTATAACATTAGCTTCTGACGTGGTTTATCAGGTGTCGCAAATTTCCGAAATCGATTGTAATCAGGAACCGTTGGTATCACGTTACAATTGGATTACAATGATGCTATCAACCTTCATGTAATCATTATAGCGGAGTTTCAATCGATTACAATGCGGTTACAACGTTATGGATATCCTACAGCTCGCCTTCGACCACATTCTCAACAGTTTCCCTCCCTTGCCCATACTTATATATTACCCGTCTATCCAGGACATGGCCCCCGAACGCACAAAATTCTGCGATCTGTGCAAACAAGACCTCAAACCACGTGGGTGGTCCACTCATTGCAAGGCCTGTGAGAAGAAGGCTGAGAAACAGCGTCAGAATCAGCTTGTTGCGGAATCCATTCGAAGGGAAGATTTAGAGGCAGAAGCAGGTATGTCCAAGTTCAATTCATTTGTCTATCAGTCTAAGTTTTTGTATTTAAACTGACTCATAGGCCCTTCAAATTTAACGAGACATCAATCATCACGCGCAAGTGTCAACGATTCAGAGCGTGCCAATGAATTTATGGGAAACGAGATGGATGATGGCATGGGGTATATTGACGGTAAGTCAGAATCTTAATTACATTCGTTATGTATTATAATTCATGACTCACTGTTCACAGATCACTTTGCTGATGCCGATGTCTCTGAACGTGCAAGCACTCCCAGATTCCGGGTTGACGACATTAGGTGTGAGTATCATCCAAGCAGTGGGATCCCACCTGAGGTCCACGCTTTTGAGGACTTCAAATGGTGTCCAACCCCACTGGCATCTATCCCGCCTAACCAGCACCCCTGGGCGCCATTCAAGTCGCGACTAGAGTTTGAACTTGCTGAACTTGCCCTGGAGGCTTGTTTGAACAACGAGCAGACTGATCAGCTCATACGACTTTGCAACCGGTGCACTTCCCGACAGGAGAAGTTCACATTCCGGACCCACAAGGACATTCACGACAGGTGGGAGACTGCTTCCCATCGCCTTACGGGGGTTATTTCTTTATTTCTCTGATCTTTAGCTTCTGACGACTCTCAAGTTTAGTTTACTCAAGACATGATTTCAGTACCGTATGACGGTACCATACGAGAGTTTGATCTACACTATCGCAATCTCTGGGAGTGGGCTACTGATCTCCTTCGTGATCCTCAGCTCTTTCCGCACATGGTATTTGATGCGCAGCGCTTCTCAAAGTTTGATGGCGAGACATTTGTAAACTTTGTAGATGAACCTTACACGGCTGAAGCTTTTTGGAATGTTCAAGTATGTAATACTGCTGTAGTGATTTCTTGTATTCATGAATTGATCTATTCTTTTGCCTCATAGTCTCAGCTACCAGAGGGCGCCAAACCTCTGGCGTTTATTCTGTATGCGGACAAGACGAAGTTGTCCTCATTTGGTACCGCAAGAGGTTACCCTGTTGTTGCACGCCTTGCGAACCTTCCCACCGACATTCGCAATGGTCAAGGTATGGGTGGTGGCTACGTTGTTGGGTGGCTTCCTATTGTATGGAGTATTTTATTAGTTAGCGGTTAGCACTGATCGTAGTTCTAGGTGAAGGAGGAGAAGGATCACGCTGGCAAGCCAAGCTGGGTCAATTTCAAGAACGCTGTTTGGCACGAGGCGTTCTTGAAGATTCTCTCTCCGCTAGCATCAAAATCTAGTACAGGTCAATGGTTTGAATGTCTTGACAGCATCCAACACTGGTTCTTTCCTTCGATATTAATCTTGTCGGCCGATTACGAGGAACAGTCAGTGCGTTCGTTTATCTGTACATATGAATAATTGACTACTTGTCAATGTATTAGATGTGTTATGTCGCTCACTCGAGGGATCAAGTCCCTGTGGCCATGCCCAGTTTGTCTCGTTCCCCATGACGACCTTTTGGATACTTTGAAGGCCTATCCTCGTCGAACATCCGATCAGTCACAGAACGTCTTGCAGGTTGCGCGGGGCAAGCAGACCGCTGAAGAGAGAGATGATATGCTCAAACAATATGGACTTCGTGATGTCCAGGTAAGATTCTGTTATCTATAGTACCAGCGGTGTTGTATTACTAACCCAACCATGTTAGAACGCTTTTTGGATCGTTGCGCTTACTTGTGTACATTACGCACTCTCGTGGGATAGGCTCCATTTCAATGGTGGCCTGTACCGCGATCATTTGTGGGCCGAACTGCAGAGAATAATCATTAGTCTTGGGAGAGCAAGTGTAGCACAGATGGACCACAAGTAAGTCTATAGCTTGCAATTTAGGACTTTTTTGATTTCGTGTTACTAGCTACGAGGCGTTTCCACGGTGGCGCAATCTCAAACATCTATCGCAAGTCATGAGCATTTCCTTTGCGGATAGTAGCGTGTATGAAGACATTTCGAAGGTATGTTTTCGTAGGTTCTTATTGATGAGTCGAGTCTGATGGTTGTTCTCTTAGATGGTGATCTATGCTGCACATACCATTGTGACTGAGGACGAGTGTCCAATCGGCTACCTCTTACTTCGTTGTATTCGACTCTTTCTTGAAGTCGATTTATATGCAGCACTCGAGGTTCACACAGCTGATACTATCCGTGCAGGCCGACACGCAGTTCAAGCGTTCTCAACCTATCTCCAGGTGTGTTTTCTCGACTTCCCTCGAAATTGTTCGTCAATGAATCTTATTATAATAGCAATATATAACTAAAACAGCCGACACGAGCGACAAGAACTGGAACTTCCCCAAATTGCACATGAGTGTGCATATCTTTGACAACATCGAAGCTAAAGGAGCTACACGTAACTACAACACGAAGCCAAACGAGAAGATGCACGGGTCGCTGAAAGATTCGTATCAAATGCGCACCAACTTCAGGAATGTGGCGCCGCAGGTAACAGATTTTATTCTCAATATCATTGACTTGTTGATCTTAGACTACTGCTACAATATTTACAGATTCTTCGCATCAATCATTGGCAAGTGGTCGCCGAGAGCATTTGCCGGAACATATCCGACTTCGATGAGTATCAGTCACGCGATGTCGACAATGTGCTGGACGAAGACAATTCCGTGGTGGATGATTTGGTCGTCTCGAACGACTCGCCTCATGTAAAGCTTGGATCCAGACAAGCTCCACAGACTTTTGAATCTGTCGAGAACACTCACAGACATGACAGCGCATTTACTAACTTTCGTATCAGGCTCAATGATTTCTTAACTAACTTTTTACCAGCCATTCAAGTCCCTCTACCAGGCGGAAAGCAGGTCCAGCTCAAAGCAAATGGCAAGGTACGATGATCATTGTCCAGTTTGGCTGCGTTCTGTTATACTGACGTGAAGGGATAGATTACCGGGTGCCGTTTCTTAAAGGTTAACTATGAGTCATTGGTAGATTGGCGCCAACATACCGATTTCCTTCGTTGTAATCCCAAGTTCTTTGGTACTCTGCGCTTCGACTGTGTGTTCGTCCAGACAACCGACAAGATCATCTTTGGTCGCCTGCTCTTTGTTTTTGAATGTACACTGGAAGATACAGCCCTCTCCCTTGCCCTTATTCACCCATTTGATGCTCCCACTGGTGTTCGCATCCGAAAAGACAAGCATCTCTCCATCTTTCGTGTGCGAGCAAGACCCCAGGCGCAGGCTGAATTTTTTTCAGTAAGGTCGATCATCCGCGGAGCTTTCCTAGTGCCGGATGGTAGCAATGATTACATTGTTGTCGATACTGTTGACACCGACATGTTCCTTCGTGTGAAGGCGCTGCATCTTGAGGCAGGGCACCTTGTACGTGTTTGATGCCACACATAGTCTTCCTCCCCTTACAGATGGTATGCCTGCTTACTAGTATCTTCACTCGTTGGTCTCACTGACTGTCTGCTTTTGCCTCTCGTGAATACCAGGCAATGTCATCACCGCCTCTAGACATACATTCCGCATACTCTGCCTCATGATATACCTCATTTTCCTCGGCACCGACTTCACTCTGTTCAATGCATCAACGCCTTCAAGACTTTCTCGCCATTCATGATCAAGCTCTCTTCCAAGAACCCCCAAGATCACCTAGCACTCATCAGCGCTGGAATCAACAACTCGATCATGGCCCAACCCCATCTTAATCACCAGCTATCTCCATCACCATACGCGTCCTCCCAACTCCATCTCTGTCACTGACCATCTCCTAGACGCATCCTCCCAACCCCATCTCAGTCGCCACTAGACACGTCCTCCCAATTCCATGTCACCGGCCATCACCATCACTAGATGCATCCTCCCAACCCCATCTTAGTCGCCACCAGATCGTCCCTGGGGGATCCTGAACTACCTTGAGGGTCAAAGGTCGCGAAGCGTCCATCCTGGGGGATCCTGAACTACCTCGAGGGTCGAAGGTCGTGAAGCGTCCATCCTGGGGGATTCCTAACTACCTCAAGGGTCTGAATCAGCAATCAGACTATCAGCCGGTTTGTGACGAGCCCTTTTGATGCACGTGTATTAAGGTTCACTCTTTAAAGTTTCATCTTGCGAGGGCACCCTCTAGTCGTGCGCTCGTTTACGTGCCTCACATCAGTTTGCCGCTATCAATCACAATGCCGAGCCACCATAGTCATTCCCAAAGACGTAAGAAGATGTGGGTAGGCAACGTGTCGAATTGTATATAAGGTGCATCACACCATTTCTTCCTTCGCTGTCTTGCCACTGAACATCTTGTAGGACAATGTCTCATCTCTCAGTGCACATATCGGACAGCAACTCCGATGACGACTTCGATGAGGGCAACATCGAGCAAATCTCCATCCCAGGGCCCAACGCCTCCAAGGGAGATTTCATGGATGTACGTACTAGCTACAACTTATTATCTTAACTATATTCAACTTGATATCGTGCTCCAGGCAGTCAAAGCATTGCAGCTCGAAGTTCAGCGTCTGTGCAAAGAAAATCGTGCTCTCAAGGAGAAGAACAAAGTTCTACTTGCCGAGAAGCCCAAACGGAAGCGGCGCGTTGAAGCACCTGATGAACTCGTTGCTCACGAACAGACCATCTCACTGTATGCTCGTAAATACGGCATGACAGTGGAGATGTTTCCGGACAATGAACTTCTCACCAAGAAGCTGCCGGATTTGCCTACACCATTCGATAGCCATGACCGTTACAAGACTGCTGCAACTCAGGAAACGGCCTTCTTAGACGAACTTTACAAGCATTTCCCAGAACGCGTCCATCGAGCCATACAGAGTGTGTACTTCAAAGACCTCGTACGTCACATATTTTGTTTTGTTCTAACTATCATCTGATGTATTCTTTAACTATGGTAGGTACATAAGTGCATCAGCGATGCTCGTTCAAACGAGATCAAAAAATTACGTGGCGTTGCTGGAGATATTTTTGACCTTCCTGCGAAGTACTTTGCCAATCCTAGTTTCGACAGAGCCGGCATTGTCGAAATTCAAAAGATGCTTGGAGTGTCTGGCAAGACGCAGGCTTATAAAATCTTTCCGCCTCTTTTGTTCCCAGGTCTGCAAGAAGACACCACCCTCAAGACTGTTTTCGGCAACTGGATACTTTTCGCCAAGGTGCGCTATCATTCACTGCTCGTATATTTGTATCATGTATGCTACTTACTATGACAATGGTCTATCTACTAGATTCTGAGAGCATCACTGCATGGCGTCACCTCGCTTCATCAAGAGCCTTGTGGCGGATCAAAGACTAATGCTCGGAAGTGGAACTTTCAACAAGTCACTCCAGGATCTATCGCATGGGCGGCAGTTATCGTACGTCGTGTATATTGCATCAAATATATCTACTGATGTTTGAATGCAGGCAATATTTCTGCTCTCACCCGACTCCGAATTTCCCGGTTCGGGAGTGGGGAAATCATCGACCATCAGTTACAAAGACCTGTTCTTTCAATATAAGAAGATGCTCATTACAAAGTGGGACACCAGGCGCATCAAGAATATTATGGTCAGTATCAACAACCACATTTTTGGCACCGCAAAGTTGTCCACCCTCAATCCCGCTGGTGGCGAAGACTTTTCGGATGAAATCAATCGCGCTATGCTCGCACTCGACATGTCATCAGACAGTGAAGCAGATGAGGTTCCACCAGCATCAGTAGCGCTACATGAAGGTCCAGGCCCAGGTCTCAATGCAGGTCTCGTCAACCGACCTGCAGAAGAAGCATCTGAATCAGCATCTCGAGCTGCTGCTCATACTAATGTTGAAGCAGACGAAGCTGATGTAGATGAAGCTGATGGTCAGATAATAGGCAGGGGCCGAGGGAAGGGAAAGACTAGGGGGAAAAGGGCAGTAGCAACTCATAGCAATATTCGTCGTGGTCGTTCTCAAAAAGTCTCATAGAAATCGTTACAGTTAGTGATCCACCGTCTAGTGTAGTGCATTGCATTTGAATTTGAACGCGAAAATGTCGTTACAATCGAGTTCAATCAACAATGCTTACATAACAACGAGATTACAAAATTTTTCAGAGACTTTAATTCTACAGCAACCACATTACAACTGTTCTGATACTCAACACCGCTACAGCAGCTCTCACCACCATCCGCTATTAGTAGATGATAACTTTTCCTTGGACCCTCTGCCTTTAATGAAACCAAGACCCCCGGGATGATCTCATGATTGAAGGTCGCGTCATTCTCCAAGGACGAGGACACGAAGTTAGCGACGAAGACCTCCTGGACCAGCAGCAAAAATTGACTCAACGGTAAGCAGCATATCCATCCTAGAAACAAAGATATTAAACGAAGACCCTGATGATCTCGTAGATGAAGGTCGCGTCGTTCTCCAAGGACGAGGACACGAAGTTAGCGACGAAGACCTCCAGCAGCAAAAATCATCAACTATTATAATAAACCACGGTAAGCAGCATACCCACCCTAGAAACAAAGATATTAAATGAAGACCTTGATGATCTCGTAGATCAAGGTCGTGTCGTTCTCCAAGGACGAGGACACGAAGTTAGCGATGAAGACCTCTGGCAGCAAAAATCGACTAGACGACAGTAAGTCATTCTTACCGCAGCATATCCACCCTAGAAACAAAGATATTAATTGAAGACCCCAATGATCTCATAGATGAAGGTCGCGTCGTTCTCCAAGGACACGAAGATGGCCACTCACTCATACTCAAACAGTTCCGTCTTACCAGAGAGGCATTTGACCGCCGGGTGATCAGTAAGTGGTCCGTTCAATTTCGAGCCAGCTCATCGCTCACATTCCACATGCACATCCATGCCACCATGGCCGCTCGCTCATACTCAAACAGTTCCATCTTACCAGACATCGGCCATCGGGTCATTGCCTGAGTGGAGTTGAAGCCAACGGGAGAGATGTGCGGCTGACTCGCACTCAGTCTAATACTGGTGAATGATTTCATTGATGTGGAATGGGAACCCTACCGCTAACTACAAACTATATCCTCCAGAACCCTACCTTCATCCAACCGCACCCTCCAGCGCTACTCGAACTCAAACCATGTCCTCCCAGCAATCAAAATCCATCGAGTCGGAGTTCCTTTCCCCCCATGTTTCCGCCAAATGAGTTCCAACTATGACAACCACCACCACCGCATCGTCATCCACACCAATGAGATTATCTGTGGAGATGGATATATGGAGGAGCATAGGGATGTATTACGACGGAATGCGCACCCCGCAGATGAGCCACCAGTACCATACCAATATTAAAATATAAATAATGTATTAAAATTGACAAATAAACATTACAATCTGACTTGCAAGCCGCTGTTTGACATTGCAATTGCCTGTTACAACTCCCAGCCAAATAGCTCATTACAATGACTAAGACGGATTGCCACGCATTGTGACAGCGGTTGCCATCTCAATTGCAACCGTCATTCCAATTTGATTACAATTGTGACTCTGCTATTGTAAGCGCTTTCAATTTATGTTTGGTCTTTGAACGTTGAAATGCCATAAAAGGCACTGAAGTTTAAATTAAGAATTTGCGACAGGTTCTTGAGCAAATTCGGAATTCCTCGCATGCGCGGTTCTTTCTTGTTCTTACTACTTTGTCAGTAATGGTGAATGCATGAGTATTACTTGATATGTTGATGGACCTGTCTGAATCATTACTACTTGTTGAGGTTTCGTTCTCTGTCGAAGCACACGGCCACGTTGAGCTCCGGTGCTATTGTTCAGCTGATGAAGTTGCTTCCAGTCTCATTTACCTACCGCATTGAAACCACGTTCTACTCCAGTTTAATCTTCAAGTCTGCTTCTCAGCCTCGCAAGTTGAGATGATGGCAACCGGCGGATCTCAACCCAGTCAATTGTAGGTAGGACCTTTTGGGGGAAATGCGGTACACTAATAACGTTATGGCTGCAGATAAGACATGTCTCACTAACACTAAGCCCACGCTAAGGGGTGCGCAGTTCAAACACCCTGGCCAAAGCACTTCTCTCCCGAAAGTGCCACTCATTAAAATATGAATGTCACTCTCGTACGTACTCATACTTTTATATTTTACATACACAATCACTCATCGTTGAACGCCTCATACACGTTCACTTGGATTAAACGTCTCAATCAGTATATTAATTCCTCTCACCTCGAATCATTTACCTCAGTCTTTTAATTCAAGACCGAGTCCCTTTCTTGTTCCTAGTCCGAACCTTTCTTCATTCATAAGACCATTCTCGATCTCAACAAAGTCACCCTCCTAATATAACTCATACTCTCAGCTCCCACTATGATGGACTGCGACTACACCATTACCGGGCATGGCACTAATCAGGAGGGAGGCGCCCAGTGTTCTTCGGTATGGGCAATCACTGGTGCACGCGCGATTACAGGAGCTGTAGTGTTCGTCAACCCTGAATGGCCATGTCATCACCTCCAGAAGTGATTCAAGGGTTTTAAACGGCTGACCACGTCAAGTATGCATGTGGTCTTGAGTAAATCTCCATGTGACATGCATAACCTTGCCAGACGAAGTTTCAAAGCTCCTTTCCTTTTCTATCGTCTCTTCATGGTGTGGTTGCAGTCTTATTGAGGCAGATCGGCAGTGGGAGTACATGAATTTCCAGTTGGTCCCAAGATCGCGGACATTGTCACATCGCGCTTGCCTCCGCGGAGTCGGAATCATCCGTCGATCTGCACTAAATACAGACTGCATCATGGGGATCATTCCGAGCATATCAATAAGTTTGACATTGACAACATTGAACATCGTGACATGCGTGTAGTGTAACATGTGGATATCTGAAGATCTGGTGGCGCATCATGAAAGAACCTTAAGAGTGCCAGCAGCGTTCCTGTACCCTCCGACCGAGCTTTCATGCTTCTGTCATTCAGTACACTCAGATCGATCGCTGAAATGGAAGAGCACCTCTTGCAGTCTCGTAATTTTTGGCGCTGCGATAGGCAGTGCTTGCGAGTAGTGTCACTCCGCAAACCGGACAAGCCAGAGTGCTCATCGGAGACCGCATGTCTGAGTCGTGTTCGCAAAGTTGACTGAAGTGTAATCCAGACACATGTTGAAATTAGGATCATCCCGAATTCTCGGCATATTGATTAGAATGCTGTAGAAACTTCGAGTGAAAGTTTACGACGAAACGAGAGCGTTGTCGAGCAGTGGAGGACTTGTACGTTGTAGTACGAAGCAAGAAGGGTGAGAAAAACACGAGAGGCTGTGCCGCCACATAGAATACAATGTCCAGTCGTAGACTGTCCGAGTGCACGTGATCCCCTTTCTTGTTTCACCACGACGCTGAGGCTTAGTTCTTGTTCCAATGCCTCGACACCAGCCCCTTCATCTTCAATGTCACGTACACCTACTTCAATGTCGGCTGAAGACACCAATTTCTTCTACTTTTACTGATGTAAAACGTACACAAGTCGAATGACATGAGGCCTAAGCCCGAGGTCTTCTATCAACGCTACAGTAATTTATTCAGGAGTCTGGTCGAGGCTTCAGGAAAATTTGTATAAAAGTGAGCACATCCATCAACTCCGCAACGAACTGTATATCGTGTGATAAAGCACTGTGCCAACGCGAAAGAGATAAGACTCACTATTGTGACATGCTCAGTTTGCCAAACATCTGGATTTTCAAGGTTCCCCGCAGTATGTGGAAGAACTTCCGAACTCCTATTGGTACAAGGCGCAAAGGTGAGTCGTGGGGTTGAATTTTGGATGCAAAGCGAACGACTCATACTCACAGTAGGCCCACAGAAAAGGTCATCGCAGCATATGAGGCCTGTCGGGCTGGTCGTGCCACAAGCCTGGCCTATAATCGCACACTTTGCGGCGGTGACAGACGTAGATTTTGTCAAAGCTGCGACGACTGTGACGACTCGGAGGAATGAGAAATGCATGACTCGTGCTAGGTTATATGGGATGAACAGTGGCTCTGATTCTGCTAGTGGCCTTGCCCTTATATCCTAGAAGGAAAAATGTTTTTGGAAGACGGTAAGGCTTGGCACTCGTATCAGAATGGTTGCGCTTTCTAGCGGACTTGACTTGAGGGTGAGAGTATAGGCAGAATCGAAGGTTGGCGGATAAATAATCCAGAGCATGCGGATGAAGAACCACTGACAGTGCAAGTGTCGTCCGGTGAGAACGAGACCGAATTAACTGCACCACTACTGGTGTGTTGGCGATAGGACACCTACGTGTGCTACCAGTCGGCCGGAAGATATCGATTAGCCTGAGCCTCTGGTACTTGTGTCTCTCTTCTTTTCCTTTTTTGAGTCTTTATCGCATGATGACTCCTTCGACACCACATGTTATCTCCACCGGCGTCGTCGCAGTCGTCACTGGTAACGTCTTTCCGTCTCGGACATCTTGACATTCGATACTCAAGTTCCTGTTGCACCCAGTACATTCAAAGCGAGGTAAAAATCTGAGACAATATAGTGAGATGAAATGTATAGTTCATTGCAATTGTGTATAATATTGTACAGTACGGCATGTAATCATGATATTCGTGACGAAGGGGTGAGTACGAGAGCACCATCAAAACGATGCGCATGAACATGATGTGACCTGTGAAGCTTTGAAGTATGAAACGCCAGTTGGAGCTAAGGGAGAAAGCACCGGGAAAGAACAAACGAACGGGGGATGAGATCGAGGCATGTGAAGAGTAGGAGAGGTTCCGGCACGATAGAGAAATGGAAGAGCACCTCTTGCAGTCTCCTTGTAATTTTTGGCGCTGCGATAGGCAGTGCTTGTGAGTAGTGTCACTCCGCAAACCGGACAAGCCACTCATCAGAGACCGCAGGTCTGTAGTACTGAAGTTGATGCAACCTTCCAGGACTGACAAGTCTGGAGGGTTATTGCCTTGCGGACTCCCCAGTCTGTTGAGGTGCGGTGATCCTAATGAAGCTGCTAAGAAGGAAAATCAATGATAGGAGATGAGATCACTTTAGGTGCCTCAAACGACTATGATAGAAAAGAAGACGTGTTTGTAGTATGTAAAGATGCAAGTTACTCTTGAAAAGCTCGGAAGTATTATTCCGAAAGGCTGGGAGAACAAATTCTTGAGCTGCGCTACACAAGTAGTACTACAAGGCACATAATTGTCGTGATGTGATCTACGGTCATTATGCGAAACACGACGTAACAAGAAAAACATGTACATACATATTACACAAGGGGTCATCGTTGCAAACCATCGTAACATGCACTGGAACGTTCATATAATGATATCCCCGTCCCACTTCTGCGAACCTCCCTGCACTAACTCTCCGACCGATTGTGATTTGAGGTCCTTCAAAACCTCACAACTATCTGTGGACAGTGCATCGATAGCTTTCAGCTCATGCACAGTGGCGGCGCGGCGCGTCCCAATGAAAATCCGACCCCCAGGCGCATCTTCCAGCGAGCGAATAATGAGATCCTTCTCGAAAAGATATTTGATATCTTCCAGCGCGTATCCAGTCGTCTCCGGTAGGAAGAAATAGACCCACATCGCCATTATTAAACAAGTGATGCCGAAAACAAGATATGTTCCATAGGATATGCGCTCAAGCATGGTGGGCGTGACCTGGGCAAGAGCATATGTCATAATCCGGTCGGTTCCGCATGCAAGGGACAAGACAAGTTGACGGAGATGTCCTGGGGCAACTTCAGCGTTGAAGACGTGGGGGGTGAATCCCCAGCCTACGCTAAAGGCTACGGCATAGATATATACAGCAACAATGGATATGTATGTTGCTGGCCCAATGCCCTCGTTAGGGTGAGCACCAGTATACCCGCCGATCCATAGCATCGCCAGCCCCTGCACTAGGCCACCATAGATCATGGTCCTCTTCCGACCCCAGCTGTCGATGATGTGGGTCAAGGTGAAGCATGTGACGACGAATTTCACGACACCATAGATGCCGGTATCAAGTAGTGTCGAGGAAGTACTGGATAAACCAAGGCTGGCGAATATTTGGGGAGTGTAGTAAGTGATAGCGATTGCGCCGGACCACTGCTGAAATATGATAGCGATGGAAGGAATGATGCAGCGCAGAAATATGACTTTCGATTCTCCCATCTTACGAACTTGGGTGATCAGCGAAAGGTTTTGCCTCCCAACGAGATCGGCACGAATCTCGTGGAGAGTCAGCACAATGGCATCATCATCCTGATCTCTTCTCGCGATATATGCGAGGACTGCAGCTGCTTCTTCGTAGCGGCCGCGCTCAGCGAGCCATCGGGGAGACTCGGGCTGGAAAAACATCAAAAATAAAAAGAGTACTCCAGGTACAATCTGGACAATAATGGGCAACCGCCACTGCATTTGTCCTGGTGAGATATTGAGAGAAGCGCCGTAATTGACCCAAACTATGCATCGCCTGTCAGATTAAATCCCACAGATCTGCGATGGACACCCACAAGCCAGCATATTTCCAAGTGCTATTCCGAGTGGGATGCTGCCAAGGCATCGACCGCGTATAGCTCTTGGAGAACATTCGGATACGTACGTTGGCACTAAAGCTGATAACAAACCAATTCCAACGCCAGCGAAGAAACGAGAGAAGTACAAGACTTTCAGTCCAACTCGTGCGGACATTCCGATTCCAGTTGTCGACTGAATAGTGATTCCAATGAGGAATATGACTGCAGAAGCTAACAGGCTAGACTTCCGCCCAAATCGACCTGAAAAGTAGGTCGAAGACAATGCCCCAAAGCTGGTGACGTGACTTTAGCCGAATAATTTTCCATACTTGAATATACACTCACAAGCCTCCTGCTTGCAGGACCGAGACGATATTTCCGCTCAAGCTGGCGCGTGCAGAGGGTGAATCCGAGAGCAGACCGAAATAACTTTGGAATGATGGTAACGCGAGCATACCGCCCAGTAAACTTACGTCCCAACCAAAGCAGGTGAATCCCACCACCCCCGCCGAGAATGCAAGAAAGTATGCATTGCGATACTGAATGATGTCTTGGAGCTCCTTCTTCAAGGTCGCGGGCATCATACGAGGGTATAGATTGTTCACAAAGAGTGAAACGAATATGGCCCAGATATATAGAGCGGCAAACTTGAAGGATTGGTATCGTGATGTAAACAACTTGAACTTAAATGGGATCCTCGCTTTGAGTTTACGAGCATGTGATCATGGTGATTCTAGTCACTCCAAGGTACTTCTGCTGCGGCCATCAGATAATGATGAGTCGTTTAGGGTGCGTTACGTTGATTGCAGGGCCTGTACGTCGTAATGACTTGATGCTTGCCTTTAGATATGAAAAGAAAGGACACGCTCTGCACATATTGTCATGAAATGGTACATAAAACAAGATAACTTTCTCACCAGTCCTCTGATATCGGCAAAATTTCTGACGGCGGCAATCTTGACCTGACAGATAGCACTCCCCCGCATTTCGTTACTATCATCGGAGTTGCGTCAGAAAAATGCTTTTCCACTAGGTTTGCGATATTATCTGTTGGACGTGATGGGCCTATTGGCCTCGCCAGGGTCCCAATGACACACGTATAGCCTCTATGTGTTACCTATGTGTCACCAATACAGCTAACCACGGCTGTGCCGAGATGTGGCCATTGAGTCAAGGAAGTATATGCTGTGATAAGAATCTTGTGGCATGGTAGCCACGTCTGACTTGCCACGATCCAGATCTCGGGTGAGCTGTAGTTGTTGGATAAGTCAACAGTCGCTGTCACCTAAATTCCACGTGAGCAAAACACGTGGATGTCGTTTTTGGTTGTGAACCCCTAATTAGAGCGTGGACGCGAAAATGTCAGAAGCGAGTAAGTTGATTGCAACCTACTTCAGGGATAGATTAGGGACAAATTTTGACAGGCTTCGTGATGAGATTTGTCACCACTGCGAAATTATTCGCCTCCTCCAGTAAGGTACGAGCAAAAACTCAGGTGAGCTTGAAGCCTTGAAGGCCCAGTCGAGTATTTTCCAGAGGTACTACTTACTGATTTATCAGAGCTGACAAGTTTTTTCTTACATTACACTGCTGGTACCTTGTTGTCGCCACAGCTTGGCAGCCGAACGGTGGCGGATCCGGGAGTGGTAACAGCCTGAGGTCATCGATTCATCGATCATCATCTACCGTACGGTGGCGCTACATTTAGTGCTAACTATTTTGCCCTATCGGCAAGAATACCGGCCCGACAACAGAAACGACTTGAAAGCGAATATCTGAGTCGGGCTAGCCGCCAGCCCCAAGGCTTACTCGTACGTGGGTCCCGACTTCCATTCGAGCTTGCCACACTCGGGTTGATTATTGCTGTGTTCATTGTCTTCGTGACCATCATGGTAGGGAATATTTGGGTTGAGGTTCCCCGATTCTGTGTGTCAAAGGAGAGCAAGACGAGTGCAAAGTCATCGCTTCCCTATATGATAATGGTTTGAGGTCATTCCAGTTCAGTCAAGTTTTTTTTCATGATGGACCTTTAAGCTTTAAGCCTCTTGTGTGTAAGTTACATCACCATACGATATTATGTATACACGACCGGATTGTAATGATTGATAAAGTTAAAAACAAATTGAGAGGTCTACTTAAAGTGTCGCACTAGCATATCGTGATCGTGCTGCTGCAATATAAGGTTTAATCCTCCCACTCCTGCCGGCCACTCAATATCGATAGAGCCGATGGACACAGGGTATGTAACCCGGCCTTCGCATCCAGCCCAGTCAAAATCGATAAGTTGCACCTTGTTTTCCTTCGTAATCATGATATTTGGTTTCCGAAGATCACCAAACACGAAACCACGCTCGTGACAGTACTCGATTGCTTTAGTGAGGTCCTGTTTGAAACTGCGAGGCAGTACCCGTGCATTAGAGGCCGTCGTTCCATCCACATACTCCATAACTACCATCCGCAGCTTGCCGTACGATGGCATGTGCGGCATGGTATCGATTGGTCCGTAGTACAAAAGCTTCGGCGCGAACCCTGCTTCCGCCATCGCCAT